ACTCCGAGCTCTGCTTCCTCTTCTCTCTTTCCGCTTCTTCTCCGGCTCCGTCTCGGCGTCCGCTGCCGACCGCTCCCGCCGCACCTCCGCCTCGCTGCAGCACCGCTCCGCTCCGCGGGGCCGCTCGCAGCCCGCCCGGACGCCGACACAGAGACAGAGCGAGCGAGCGAGCCGGGCCGCAGCGGGCGGGGCTGCCTGCAGCGCTCGGCTCCTTCCTCTCCTCCACGGTGAACAGCGGCGCCCGCAGCCAACGCCCGGCACTGCACGCACGGCTCCACCGACCGCCGCCGCTGCCTCAGCCGCGGGAACCGCTGCCACAGCACAACTGCCGCACGATGCACTCCCTTCAGCATTTCGGTAATTTTCCTGGCACTTCTTTTCATCTTTCCGTTCTTGTGTCGATGAGAAGACATCCTGTTTTGTTTAACGTGCTCACTCTGTACGAGCAGCAAAGAGAACCTCTTCAGTCCGGTATTTCTAATTCATACCAAGTACAATCTTTGTGGTTTATTTCATCTCTTAACACTTCTGATTCTTAACCCGTTTTTGCAGGAGCACTGCCAAATAAAGGTTGTTATTGCTGTCGCACTCTAATGTGACGTTCCGATGTTTTCCACATGTCTTCAATACTCCAAGAGTTGCATACATTCATCTTTCCAGTTGTTTGCATGTCAGCTGCCTTTAGAAAACCACCACACCTTCTCCATCACACACAGGAAAGGGATTTCTTGTGCCTTGATCATATTGGAGTTCAACAAAAAGTGGAGTTCCCAAACCAAACGATTTCTCCCTGTTATGGTGCAAGAGCCAGCAGCTCCCCTCAGCCCTCCCCATAAATTCTGCACTTAGCCACAAGCTCTCCACATCAGTTTGTAACGTGTTCTCAAGTAACCATCGTGCCACACGTAGTTCAGTGGTGATGGGCATATTCAGTGCTTGCTTATATAATGTTTCCACTTGATTGAACAAGTGTAGAAGAGCACTGCTGTGTCCTCCAAAAACTTTTCATTTTTACTTCTAACTCTTAATAGTTCTGAGAACTATGAGTTTTGTTTTGTTTTGCTTTCAGTAGCAGCATTTCCACCATGAACTCCTCCGTGGCTGCCTTAAGTGAGTACATTATTTTGCCGTTGGTTCCATCGTCAGGATCAGTGGTGATTATTCTTGCAATCATTCCACAACTTAGTGCTACATTCTGTTGTGGTTTCTGTTGTCCTTTCCACGTCAGCAGACTAAAATAAGCCCTTCCCATGTGTCCATAACACACTGTGAAGGGAACATTCCATGCACATTCACCAGTGCATCATGAAGACAAGGTCCCAGTCCATGTAATTCCTCCTTGTTGGGTTAGATGAGGAGCCAGGCCCCCTGAGCCCTCTCAGATGGCAGGCCCTGTGTCTCCAGTCCTTCAAGAAATGAGAACAACCCACAAGAGGTTTCCACAAGTGCTGCAGACAAGTCTGTTCCACTTTTCCACATTACAATCATGCCACAGGGCTTTGAGAGGTCATCCATGTATATAATGTTTGATGACCTTTTGCAAACTCTTGTTTACAACAATTGGTAGAAGAACATGGCTGTGTTCTCCGAAACTCCTTCCTGCAAACCAGTAGCTCGGTCATTTCAAATACTTCTGATTCTAATTATAAAGAAACATCAGGTCCATGGGAGGGGTCGATTACAGTGTGTAGTTTCATTAACACAACTTTGCCTTCAAATGAGGACTCGGTTGTCACTGAAAATTCAAGCTGCATCTTCATATATCATGATTTGACACCCAGTGCATTGGGTGAAGGCTTGTACAACAAAGATTGTCATTTATGATCACCACGACACTGAAAGAAAGGTGCTCAGTAAAATAAACACTAATTTTCACACAATACAACAAATAACAACACAGTGCAGGCAAATCCACTGCTGACCCATCAATCTTCTATTTCAAGGGCAGTCTTCATACTCCCAAACTACCTGTGATCTCTATGTCTGTGTTGCAAGAATAACAATCTCTAGCCTTTGAAAGCTAAGACTCGTACAAGGGAGCATCTACACTGAAGTGACAGAGAAACATTTTCCGCCATACTTTGTCTGCACCCACCAGATTCCGGTAGAATGTTTGCACACCTGCAGACTGGAACAGCGGAAAACTCCAGCCTTGTTTTCATTTCTCATGTATTTCTAAAAAGATACCTACCCATGAACTGGAAGAAAAGACCAAGGCACCTGCTGTGAAGGAAACCGTGTCCCATCAGAGATATGCAACCAGATGCACATGCAAGTGGAATATGACAGCACTAATTCTGGTACGGCCCTAGGCGTTTTCAGGGAATGCCTTCCCCAATAACACTGTTCCGCTATTCTTTGGCTTCAGCATCACACAAATCAGTGCCTCCAGCTCCATTCTCTTTCACTTTTCAGGCCTGCTCTACATACGCGGTGTTTGCCTAATCCTTGGTATGGGGGAACAAACGCTGCCTCTGAGGACAAAGGAACCAGGATCATAGCAGAAATAGTTGCAGGCATTGGCACAAGATGTGAAAGGAAATCCAGACAAGCAGGTTTGCTATCAAGAGGCCAGACAGAGCTTCCTTAACCCAACAACTTTCCAAACTCAC